AACAATATACCGGTCATTAATAAAAACATCTTCTTTGGCACAAATCTTTAACTTGTATATCTGAATCAATATTCACTACGGTTTTCTAAGAAAATGAGTGGTCGTCTTTTTGCATCACCTACGTCTGTAAGAATCTATTGATCAGATAAGTTGTAGTATGATTTGCTTATACTGAGACATCTATATCATCTCAATAGAGATGTTGGAATGTATCTTTCTTTTTTTCATTAGAACTTTGAATCATAAAGATAGCTAATTGATGTTTGATTGTATTTTTGTCTCACTCTATTTATCACTTTGCTGTGATTTTTATATTTCACATCAATTCATTGGTGAAGTGATTTTGTTTTTTTAGATTTACAATTTGTGGTGAAATAAAGTTTTATTTCGAGAGTCTTGGCTAAAAATGTTACTTTGTCCAACAAAATTTTTTTTAATTGCATTAGAAGGTGATTGGTAAATTGACTTTAAAAACTATGAAAGTATTTAAAAAATATTTTAATTCTAAATTTCTCCAATCAGACTTGTTGGATTTAACAGCCATAAAAATCATAAAATCATTCTTTAATTTTCTCACATCATCTTTTTTTTTTCATGTTATACATTTTTTTATTAAAGCTTTTCGTTTGTAATTTTTTTTTTAAATCACAGTTATCTATATAAAAAGAAATTTTTTTTTTTGCATAAGATATTGTTGGATTTGATAAATAAAATATCTATTTATATGCATAAATGTAGACAAAACACTTAAAATTGTAATTTGTTAGAACTAATTTACATAAGAATTAGCTATTAAATTGTTAGAATTAATTGCTAAAATTATTAAAATAAACTTATATAATTTTTTTTCAATAAGTAAATTAAAAGAACAAATGTCAAAAAATTAGATGACACATGGCAGCCTCTCATGACTTGAATTTTAAAAATTTTTACTATATTATATAAGATAATTAGAGAGTTCTCTCTCTATCTAGTGTGTCCAGCAAAATTTTTTTAATGACATTTAAATAAACCATATTTATTTGTTTTTTATGAATAAAAAGAAAACTAAATTAGAATAAAAACGTGAAAGATTAAGGAGAGTGAAAATAATGAAAAAATAATAAATGTAAGATTACACAAGATTTTAGTAGCAATAGCATAATATTGATTTAGGTTTTACCAAATATATAAATTTAAAATTAATATGTT